GAGCAGGGAGCCCGATGCGGGACTCGATCCCGGGACTCCAGGATCATGACCTGAGCTGAAGGCAGTCGCTTAACCAACTGAGCCACCCAGGCGCCCCCAGCACGCAGGCTCTTACAAGTGGAAAACCACCAGCCTCTCACGTGCATTGACCTCAGTGGGCACAAAGCTGGGTAGGGCTGCACTGGAGTTGGGGAGCATGGCTCTCCAGCTTATCCCCTGCCTGAGGAGCCTTCTGTCTTGAGGAGCCCAAGTAGCTTTCATTGGTGAGCCCTCTCTTTGGGGCTCTGCAGGACCAGGCTCTTCCTAGAGAAGGCAGACATTCAAAGATCAGAGCCTGCAGGCCTGTCACCAGACCACACTGGAGTCTGGCCCTCCTCCTCCAGGCAGCCTAATGGAGTGTGGGGAGTCTTGGGTTGGCAGCCTGGCTCTGCTACTCTCTGGCTGTGTGAGCGTGGACAGATCATCTCATCCCGAGCTATAAAACGGGGGTGCTGGTCTCCACTTGCCAGGGCACTGTTGCGGGAGACCAGGGGTCAGCAGACGTGGCCACGACCGGGACTGGAGACACGTCCAGAAGCCACAGCAATGTCAGCAGCCACTTCATCCCATCCCCTGACCCAGTGGGCACACACTGCCGCCAGTCCCGATTGCCCTGCCCAGGGCTGGCAGCCCCTAGGGATCTGTGCCTGGATGTTTGGTTCTTGTTGTATGTTTGAACCAGTTTTCGAGCTCTCACTGTGTATCCGGTACAAGCCTAGGTCCTTTAATACGCCTCACCATGGTTCATTCTCACAGCTCCCTGCATGGTATGTAGGCCTGGCCACATCTTACAGATGAGGAAGCAGAGGCTCAGAGAGGAGACATGAACTCAGGTCTTGCCAGCTTCCCCACAGCTCTGTTCTCAGAGAGAATGGGGGAATCTAGGAACCAGCAGGGCACAGTGCAAGGAGCCAGAGGTAGCCAGCTCTCAGTTTGAATCCTGCTTTGCTGGAAGACTTTATGTTCTTCCCAGTGCATCATATTGGGAGGCACATAATAGCGGTTTGTCCCGTGACTGGTGATGGTAACTCTGATCACCTGGTTAAGATGGAGACTTCCAGTTTTCTCCGCTCTAAGATTACTTTTTCCTGGAGCACCTGGGTAGCACAGTCGGTTGGGTGACTGATTCTTGGTTTTCGGCTCCAGTCGTGATCCTGGGGTCGTGGGATTGAGACCCACGTCGGGCTCTGCACTCAGTCTGGAGCCTGCTTGGGACTCCCTCTCCCTCTGCCCCGCTCCCACTTCTCTCTTAAATAAGTAAAATCTTTAAAATTACCTTTCCCTTTGGAATGAGTAAGTATTTTTGAGTCTGTTGAAATATCCTCTTCATCAAATTTCCTTTTTTTAAGATTTTATTTATTTATTTGAGAGAACAAGCAGGGGGAGAGGCAGAGCAAGAGGGAGAAGCAGACTCCCTGCTGAGCAGGGAGCCCAACGTGGGGCTTGATCCCAGGACCCTGAGATCATGAGCTGAGCCAAAGGCAGATGCTTTAACCAACTAAGCCACCCAGGCGCCCCTTCATCAAATTTCTGCCCACTACATTCAGCATCCATTGTGGTTTCTTTCTTGCTTCAGTGATTTCTGACAGTTGCCAAATGGTGACTTCCAATTCCAGCATTCCTTTCATATTTGTTAGTTTGCCTTCTATTCTCTGGAAGAACTTTTCCTTCTCCCCCACTTATTTATTCATTGACTTATTCACATCATTATAGACTCATGGATTCCTGTTTCATTCAGTGAATTATAATTTATTACTGCCTTCATTTATTTGATTCTCAAGCTTGTCTCAGACGTGGCCAGTGGGGGCCCTTCAGGCTGGTTCCAATGTTCTGTTGACAGGTTTCCATCATCCTTTAAACATATCCTTACTTTTTTGGCACAATAAGATGCTCTAGACTCACCTTGAACCTTTCCTGCCCCAGCTCAGGAATCAGCTATTTCTCCAGGGAGCCCTTATTCCTTTGAGGGGAGAATGGTACTTAGAACCCAAGACCTGGACTCTAGGTGTGCTCATTGCTACTGGGGTGCTGAGGCTGCGAGGCCCTCTCAGCAGACAGAACTGGGGAGCATATGTGTGTCTGAGTGTATGTACACAGACAGACGCACATGCACATGAGTTACCTCCTCTCTAGTCCAGCACTGCAGGGTTCCTCCTAGCCTCCTTCCTTCCCGTTCCATACCCTTCTCTGACAGGGAGAAACCCAGCTCCTGCTGTCTATGAGGTATTTGTTCTGGAATACACAGAAAGTAGACCAAGAATGGCTAACCTTTATATCTGTGAAAAGTCAGCATTTGTTTATAGGGCTTTTGTCTTTAGTCTGAGGGCATCTAGTCAAAATACTTTGGAAGTTACTTGGGTGAATTGTTTTACTCTTTCATAACCTGGTGGTTATGTTAATCATTTGAAATATAGTTAGGGGGTTTGGTTGTTTTTTGTGCTTTTTTTTTTTAGGGATTCCCCTCATTCTTGATTTTATTTATTTATAGAGCATGTAGAACATTAACACAGTTATTAAAAAGTCTGAACTATATAAAAAGGTATACTCAGAGAAGTGCTGTGTGAATGTGTAAGTTTCTTCATCTCTCTGATCTTCGAGAGCCTTATCTATAATAATATCAAGTTACCATTTATAGAATCCTTGCTCTGTGCCAGCCCCTCTGCTGTGTATTTATATTTTGTATATATTTAATTTATATAAATAAATATATACTATATATAATTAAAAATATAATAAATATATATCACATCACTACATTTTAAATCTTAAAAACAGTCCTTCACTATGGGTACTGCTATTACTCCCATTTTATAGATGAAGACATTGAGGCTATCCAAGGTCCCATAGTTAGGCAGTGGCGGAACCTGGATTTGAACCCATGCCAGACTCTAGTTCACATTCTTATCTGGGCTCTGAGGACTTGTTGTGTCTGGTAAAAAAGCAGATGCTCAGAACATGTTTGCCCCCATTCGGCCAGGTCTGCCCAGCTCACATTAAGCAGATAACTGAGGTAGGGGGTGGAGGTGGTCTGTGTCTTGGCCAAGCCATCCCACACACCCCCGCTCATCTTTCCATCAGGAGAGTTTATGGAGAGCCTGCAGGACCCAGACCTGAACGTGCGCCGGGCCACGCTGGCTTTCTTCAACTCAGCTGTGCACAACAAGCCCTCTCTGGTCCGGGACCTGCTGGATGACATCCTGCCCCTCCTCTACCAGGAGACAAAGATCCACAAGGACCTCATCCGAGAGGTGAGGCCAGTGAGGGACAGAGTGGGGAGCCCTGGGCCTGACTGGTGGGGCTGTGGCAAGGATTCGGGTCGCCTGTGGCCTGGGTCAAGTCCTGTCCCTCCCCTTCCTGGTTGTGTGACCCTGGGCACGGGGGCCTAGGACCATTCAATCTGATCTGAGCCTCAGTTTCTCTTCTTAGGCAAAATGAGAAAACTAATTTGTGTCTGTGTCAGAGGGTTGTTGAGGAGATTCCCTGAGTTATGTCCTGCAGGTGCTCAGAACCTCTGGCCCACCATCGGCCTCAGTAAATGTTGGTGCTTCTTATTATCACTCAGCATTCAGCAGGTGTTCATTGAGTGCCAGCCCTGTGTCAGAGTGCCAGGATCAGAGCTGGACCTGACATGGTGTCTGCCACCAGGGAGCTCTTGGCCTCCTCAGGAATAGAGACACCCATTCTGCCAATTACATAACCGATTTAAATCCTTAAGTAAGGATTTAAGGGGCAGAGATTAAAGGTGACTTAACAGTTGTCATCACATGATATAATAAAAAGGTAAGAATCACCTGGCATTGCTGAGGAGGAAGTGACTGTGTTTAGAGGGGTTCGGAAAGTTTCCCCAAAGAGGGGGCATTTAGGCAGGGCTTGGAGGGGTGAGAAGGAGTGTACCATTAAGAACAGAGCCTTGTGGTTAAAACCTTCAGAGACCTGGGTTTTTAATTCTAGTTCAGCTACTTACTAGCTGTGTGTTTCTGGGCAAGTTAATTAACCTCTCTAAGCCTTGGTTTCCTCATATGTTAATAACACTGTCTCCCTAGGGCTGTTGTGATGCTTGAGCAAAATGTCATTTGTCAAGCACTCACACAGTGGCTGGCACATTATCACTGCTTAGTAGACCATAATAATTATTGTTACTGTTTCTTTTAAGATTTTATTTATTTATTTTAGAAAGGTGGGGGTGAGTGTGAGTGGGTGGAAGGAGAAAGAATCTGAAGCAGACGCCGCGCTCAGTGCAGAGTCTGACGCGGGGCTCGATCCCGCAACCACGAGATCATGACCTGAGCTGAAACCAAGGGTTGGACACTTAAAACCGACCGAGCCACCCAGGCGCCCCTGTTACTGTTATCATCAAAGGGCATTGCAGGCCGTGCAGCGAAGGCAAGAGACTTGAGAGTACAAGGCTTGATTCGGACACAGAACACAGTACTGAATGAGGGAGGTGGGGTGTGCAGCAGGGACTAAGGGAGGTCACCTCCCGTAACGCTCATCATCCTTCCATCCTGCAGGTGGAGATGGGGCCCTTTAAGCACACGGTGGACGATGGGCTGGATGTGCGGAAGGCAGCCTTCGAGTGCATGTACTCGCTGCTTGAGAGCTGCCTGGGCCAGCTGGACATCTGCGAGTTCCTGAACCACGTGGAGGATGGCCTGAAGGACCACTACGATATCCGGGTAGGACAGGCCCCCTGCCAGACCCGTGCCCACCCCGTCCCGAGGGGACAGGCGAGCACCACTGGGGCCCACTGCTTGTTTGTCTCCCACTCTCCACCCCAGGCACCCCCATGAAGATAACTGCATTGGTTTTTTTTTTTTAAGATTTTATTTATTTCTTTGACAGAGAGAGAGAGCATGAGCAGGGGGAGCGGCAGAGGGAGAGGAGAAGCAGGCTCCCCACTGAGCAGGCAGCCCAATGCGGGGCTCGATCCCAGGACCCTGGGATCATAACCTGAGCAGAAGGCAGATGCTTAACCAACTGAGCCTCCCAGATGCCTCTGCATTGTTCGTTTTCAATAAGAAAAAGGGCCAAGCTCTCAAACACCTTAGGCAGGAGCCTACAGTGAGCGAGCTCTTTGGAAGATGGTCTGGACTCACTCTTAAAAAAAATGTGTTCGGAGTTTTTATGTTCAAGATTGTTCTTCACAGCTCTGTGGGGGTTGGGGAAAGCTGGAAGCTTCCTGAATGTCCACCCATCAGAAGCTGACTCAGTAAACTGGCTACCTCTGGTCACGGAATGCTAGCCGGATTAAGAAGAGTGAGCCAGGTCCCTTTGCACTGATGTGAGAGATGGCCAAGACCCACTGTCGATTGATAAAAGCCAGTTGTTTTTACAGGCATTTTCCCCCAGGCTGTCCTGTTCTCACCCGTTCTGGCCCCAGCATCCTCTTGTCTGCCCCCTGGGAGCACAGGACACGACCTGGGCATCAGGGCAACATTTGGACCCCAATGTCCAGGCTCCTGTTGGTGTTGAGGAGGGTGGGTATGGCATCTCTTGAACCCCCAGAATTATCTTGTGGAGTCTGCACTCTCTCTTTGGATGGTGGGTTTAGGATGCCCACTTTACAGGGGAGAGGCCAGAGAACTGGCGAGTTCAAGGGCACCAGCGGGCAAGTGGAGGAGCCCTGGGTCCCAGCTTGTGCTGCGTAATGCCATCCTCTTTGCTGCTCTGGCCCTGGTCCCCCTCCTTTGCTGTGGGTTGTCGGGGGGTCAGGGCAGGCTAGACAGCTGGTGAGGGTGGGTAGGGCACATAGAATCCAGACACCCATCCTTTATGCTGTGGAGCGCTTGTAGGAACTACCGTTTTCCCGAGAGGCCACCCTGAGTCTCCCGCAGGCTACATCCAGGCCTGTAGATGTGTTTAGTTGGCTCACACAGTAGGTTTTGTTTTTTTTTTTAAACTGGGTGCCAACATTTGAAAAGTTGAGAGATCTTCCATGAACATGAGAGTTTTGAAAACAGGCCGTCAGCCCTGGGCCACATTCCCACAGCCACAGTTGGCTGGAGCTGAGAGCTGCTATCTGGAGTGCGGGCTCCTTACTCCTGCGCAGTTGCCCTCTGGCCCTCTTCACTCAGGGACAGTATCTGCCTGGCCCTGTGAGCATCTGAGCTGGAGAACCGCCCCCTCCCTGGTGCCTCTTCTGATCTGAGCCTCCTCAGGTCAGCCAGCTGTAGTTGGCATAGTAACCATTGCCATTCACTGTTGATAGATAAGGAAACTGAGGCCCGGAGCGGGAGAGACTCTGGCAGGGCCCTGGCGGGAATTAGTGCTAGAGTTTGGACCTGAGCTCCAGGTGTTGGTACCAGAGCCTCCGATCTTCCCTGGGCTCTGCTCCTTTTGGTCCTGGGCCATTTCACTGTGAACTCTGTCTCCTTCCTCCTGGGCAGATGCTGACCTTCATCATGCTCGCCCGACTGGCTACCCTGTGTCCCGCACCTGTTCTGCAGAGAGTGGACCAGCTCATTGAGCCACTCAGGGCCACCTGCACCGCCAAGGTACCTCCCCATGTCCCCCACCCCACTTAGCCCTGGGCACCCCTGCAGATTGCTCACAGTTACCATTTATAGGTGGTGATTGAAGTGCTTCATTTAATCATTGTCATAATCCTGTAAAGTATTTCTTAGCTCTTCCATACAGAAAGGGAAGTGCAACTCACAGTGAGGACCTGAAGTCACAGCGCTTACAGGGCGGAGCCATTCGAACCCAAGACTGTCCAACCCCAATGCCAAGCTCTTAACCTCGACACTGGACTCTTCAGGGGGAAGAGTCTTTGTCTGGGCTAAGTCGGGGGGGCCTTGAGAGGAATTTGGACTTTATTCCCTAAGGAGTGGGGCAATTCTGAGATTCTGAGTAAGTGGGAGAGGGTGGGAGATGAAGAAACAGGCAGGCAAGGCAGTTTGAGGGGTTTCCCACGCAGAGTAGCTTGCAGGGGTAGGCACCTGAGTAGGGGGCACAAGGCCAGCTAGGTGACTGTCACGGTGACCCAGTCATTGAGTTGAGTCATATGGTACCGAGAGCCTGTTTTAAGCACAGTAAGAGATAGGCTGAATCCTCCTGCCAGGGGAAGGAGATAACTAACTGAACACTTTATAGCATTTGTCACCATCCAATTATTTATTAATAAAAAGAAAGGTGGGCAGTTTAGATTGGTTGGTCAGAGGCCTCCTAGGTGACCTTGAAGTTGATTTAATGACAAAGAATCCTGCTCTGGGGAAACCCACCAGGGTAAAAGCACAAAAGAAACCTCAGGAGGCTGGAACCACAGAGACTGAAGTAGGGGAGTGTGCTGTGATTTAAACTGGGAGGGATTTTACAGGTGGGTTGGAGGAATCCAGAGACCAGTGAGGCAGCTGTGGTGCGAGGCTAGGTTCAATAAAGGATGGCTTGTTGTTGTTTCCTACTTTAGGTCAAAGCCGGTTCCGTGAAGCAGGAATTTGAGAAGCAAGACGAGCTGAAACGCTCCGCCATGAGGGCTGTGGCCGCCCTGCTGACCATCCCGGAAGTAGGGAAAAGCCCCATCATGGCTGACTTCTCTTCCCAAATCCGAACCAACCCCGAACTTGCTGCCCTCTTTGAAAGCATCCAGAAGGATTCTGCTTCAGCCCCCAGCACAGACTCGATGGAGCTCAGCTAGTCCTCCCCCTGCCCCCAGGTGGGCCCTTACTCAAGAGAAGGGCGCCTACCCAATCCCCAGGCCTCACCGGTCCCCCTGCCTGCCACAAGCCCTTTCATCTCCCTGGGGGCCCTCCTGCTCCTGGTCGGGGCTTACAGTGCCTTCTCCAGGGACCCCAACTCGAGGCCCCCAGCAGGAGCTGCAAGGCTGCCAACAGTTGGGCCCTTTAACTCAGGACAGGCATTCAAAGAAACAGGGCAGCCCTTCCGAACAAACACGGATGTGTGACTGTGACTTCACATGGGGTGGAGGTCTGTACCTTCAAAGCGGGGAGTCCCTGCCTCACAAAGGACTAAGTGTTTAGAAATACTCTTGTGCTCACAGTTGCGGAAGGTTAGGAGGCAGCCGGCTGGCCTTCCTGCCCACCAGTGTCCCAGAATTGTCACTCACACCTCTCCCACTTTTCACTTCACTTGATCTAATAGGCAAAACATTAGTGCTTCAGCTGGGCATCTTAAAGACTCAAGCTCCTTATCTGAGCTGTTCACATTTTAGAATTCAAAATGCTTTACTTTCTAATTGGCAGTAATGAATCTGAAATTTGGTTTTTTGCAGGGGGAGGGGGTCAGGATAGGGAATTAGATCTAATTTTTTTCTAATTTCAAAACCCTTATATAGCCAACTGGGAAATAAACACAAAGAAAGTACAGACCACCTTTCATGTCACCCACCAAGGTGTAACCAGTTGGTTTGTGTCCTTCTAAGGAAGATTTTGAACATGTTGTTTCTAGTTTTTAGTATCTAAGACACAAATATTAAGCAATAGGCTAAAGAATTTTCTGTGCTATCCCAGGTTAATAAAGGAGAGATCCTAGTGTTACGTTTTCTCTGCACACTTCCTCTACTCAGTAGACCGCTGTTAGTATACTTCCCAAGTCAATTTAAAGAAATTATGAAAACGACCAACAGTTAACTCAAATGTTTCAGACTAGGCTTTGAACTGGAGGCAGGCAACCTGTAATTTACCTACCCAATTTAAGGGACTTAAATCCACTCATGGCTAGCATGCCAAAATTGTTTAAGCAGGCTAGTATTTCTGTTCAGTTGACCAGGCTGGTAGGGAAAAAACAAACACCCTATAAGCAATTGTCTTGTTCTGGAGTATCATGCCATATCCCAGGACTACTGCCACTCGCTACCAATTCTTAGAGAAGTGCGATCATAACCTTATAGACCTGCCTCACTTCATTGTGCTTTGCAAATACTGAGTTTACAAATTGAAGGTTTATGGCAACCCTGTGTTGAGCCAAGTCTATCAACACCATTTTCCCAATAGCATTTGCTCACTTCCTGTCCTATTTTGTTAATTCTCAGAATGTTTCACCTTTTCATTATTATGATGTTATCTTTGATGTTACTGCTAGTGCCTGAAGATGTGACTGAATTGCTACAATCTCATGAGAAAACTTTAATGGGGTTGCTTCTTATGAACAAAAAATTTGAGATGGTAGCTACTCCTGGTGAAGATGCTGTGGAAGATTGTTGAAATAACAGAGGACTGAAGAATATTACATCAACTTGGTTGATGAAACAGTGACAGGTTCTGCGGGGACTCCAATTTTGAAAGCTCTCTGGGTGAAGTGCTAACAGTATCATGCTAGAGAAATCTTTCTTGGCTCAGTCAATGCAGTAAACTTCATGGTCTTAATTTTAAGAAACTGCCAGTCACCCCAGCTTTCAGCAGCCACCACTCTGATCACTCAGCAGCCATCAACATGGAGGTAAGACCTTCCACCAGCCAAGATTACAACTCAAAGATGTTTAGCACTTTTGCAATAGATGGTCAGCATTTTTTGCAATAAACTTATTTTAAAATTAAGGTATGCATTGTCTAGACATGCTATTGCACATAATAAATTAACGGTATAAACAGAACTTTTATATGCACTCGGAAACCAGAAAATGCGTTTGACTTGCTTATCAGTGGTTTGAAACCAAACTGGACCTCAGTATCTCAAGAGGTATGCCTGTAATTCACCCAGCTAAATTCTAGCTTTTGAGGCCTAAGGTTTAGGGCTAGTTGAAAAGGCAGCTTGATCATTAAATCCTGAGTACTGATCAAGAGGCCCAAGGATCCCACACCTTCAGAAACTGCTGTTAAATTACCTGAAGCAGCAAGCTGGGGGAGGGTTATAAAAGGGAGACAAAAGTTATCTTCGGACATCCAATGCTGATCGTAGAGGGATTTGTGGGTCACCCTGTCATATTTTTGCTCAGAAGCTACCTCACAAGGACTACATAGTGACCGTCATCCAAAAATTTACAAAGTGGGGCTAAGGAGGACTACACTTGCTCTGAGCTGCAAAGTCCTTCAATCAAAGGTCTTAGAACCGTCCTTGGTCTGAAGCCCAAGTCTCTTCCAACCCCTCTTCCCCAGCCCCAGCTGGAGCTGACAAGGCTGCTCTGGGCACCAGAGGCCTGTACCCTTTCAAGAATTAAGTATCCTTTATAAACCCCTTCCAAATGGAGGATTCCACAGAGCATTAGTCAGCACAAGAATAATCTCCATGACTAGTTGTCAGAGTAAGAAACCAAAGAGTAAAACCAAAGAGGCAAATGCCAGATGGCAGTTTTATGGTTTTATTAACACAAATATGACGTGCACAACAAGCTGTCTATTCATTTTCTTCGCTGCGCAGCCTGGCGTTGGGATTGGTGACTCTGATTGCCAGCTGGGCTGCTCTTTCCACAATAGCTTTGCGGTTCTTGGAGGAGACATTGTGAGCAATCTCTGCACAGTAAGAT